TGAGCCCTGAGGAACACTGCTAGTGACCAGCCCAATCATGAGGATAAGCTAATATTTAAAATCTCATCACCTAATTCACTTATATGTACTTTCATAACTTGCTGCTACAGGGAAACTCCAAGGAAAGACAGAAGAGAGAAGTCTGTGGCACCCCAAGCAGTCACCCAAACTGCTCATACCTTAGGCTAGCCCTGGAAATAGCAGCAAGTTATGCACATGTTTTAAGAACACCACAGTTACAGCCTTTTAAAACATGAAACTCAGCAGAGATGCTATTCCTCCTCAAGGAAGAGTATGGACTTGCTTTAGTGAAGTAAAAGGAATAATCTCCTCCTTTGCTAAAAATACTCCGTAAAATAAACCAGAATTTTTTTCAAAGGGAAATAATATGCTAGGGTTCAAAATTTAAATGCCTGAAACACTGTAGTGATACCATTTATGAACAAATTTTAAACACTTCAGATAGCTAGAAATCTCCCACGAAGACAGAGTGCAGTAGTTATCATTCTGGTATGACAAGGCTGAATGTTGATTCTTGGGGTAAATCTGAAAGACCACCAAAGTTAAGGAAGGGTTTTTCACAGCACAGAGAACTTATGATCGGAATTATTCACTGTACTATATAACATAAGGGGGAAAGAAGAAGCCATTTTATTCTGGTTTTACATTATACAGAGAATTCAGTTAACTAACAGTATAGACTTAAAAATTATTAAATATTTTAAATGAGACATACATTCAGTTTTATAAGCAAGCATGACCCTCGGCCATCACAACAGTTTAAAGAGGCAATGTACTACCTTCACTGCTAGGAAATTCATACACAAGAAACTGCAGCCATGTGTAAACAAAGATACTTACAGACAAACAAAATACACAAAGAAAACCTCATTACAGAATGAAAGGTGTCAAAAGCACTATTCTAGTTTGCCATTTAGCCACATCCACACTCTGCTAACTATCACGATAAGAGGATTTTTCCATTCTCTTTCAAAAAATGTTTTTACAGATTTGGACAATGGGAAAATTCTGTAAACAAACATGCGCTCTGTCACTCATTCATGGTAATTTTTATAATATAAAAAGCTTAAACCTCCCAAGACCTCTAAAAGTACAAGATATTTCTATACACTATCCATACCCCTCTCTCTCTCACCTCACTTCAATTTATTAAACACTTCCTTCTCTTAATAGTTCCTCCAGGAAATACAGCTGCTTACACTAAAGTAACTACTTACTCTATGTTTAACAAAAATTCAGTAACATTTTAGATGCTTTTTAAAATCTTCTTCCTCTGAAAATGAATTATGCATCACTTGTGCTTACTTATTTTACTTTTAGGTACAGCAGGGTTTTTTTTATTTTTCCAGGAAACCTGTTAGTTATGGAGAAATTACAACTGAGTTTATTTAATTTTTCAATACAGCTACATGGGAATTTAGCTAATCAGCATTATAAGTTTCATGTAGAATGAAAAGCCAATAAACTTTTAACACAAACAAAGAAGCCTGGGAAGAAAAGTTAGTATTTCTAAGTGGCAATTCCGAACTCCATCTATTCTGCCAAACATTCTGGAACAATTACTTAGTCAAGACAACCAGTTTACAACAGAAACAAAACCTTGAAAATCAAGCCAGAGCAAATGTTTTAGCTCATGTGCTAGAATAGCTTGGATAGTTTTCACTCATAGAATGACAGTTTTGTAACGGAACACCAGAAAGGCGCTGAGCTCTTTCTCCTCTATATGACAGCGAGGAGAAAATTCCCAAACTGTTAAACAATATTAATCTGGCTTCAGTCGACTGTGTCTAGAACTGGCACAAACGGCAAATGGTGTGTAAGAGATTATAGTGCATAAGAAAACAAACCTAACCCTGTGTCCCTTCCAAAAAAGGCTTATTGTACATTTTTAAGGAGGTAAAAAAAGCTTTCTATCACTACCACTTACAACATATATATCAAAACATCAAATCAGTTGTGAAGCCAGAACCAGCAGACACTTGAAACCCATACAACACATCTAAACAAATTATTTGGTCATTTTTGGTGAACATAGTATAACATTCAAAATCCCGGTTAATAATTTTATAGATCCTACAGGAAGAGACAGTTTAAACATTCACCAAGTAATCTTTTGGTCAAATTCTAGTTCAAGTCCTGCAGTCTTTACTCAATGCAAATTCCTGTGAGCTTTATGAAAATAATTTGGACCAATTTCTTCTTTTATCTATTAAACAAATATGTGTGAAGATACCTCTGCTGTCTTGTTAGCAACTGAACAAAATACCAAATTCTGCCTCCCTGTGCAATATGTACTCCTACCGAATTCAATCAAAACATACAAAACACAATTTATGTGTACCAAGAAGATGAAAAAAATCCTAAAATAAAGCAAAGCAGCAGCAAATGCAGTTACAGTGAAAATAAATATACACTATTCATTGTTAATTTGAAATTCATTCTTCCTTCAGTTAATTTTCTCAATGTATTAAGTTTCATTCTTTATAAACATAACAGCTGTTCTAACCTGTGTCCTGCTATAGTATGTCTCCGAGATGGAGAAAAGTCAGTAGTGCTGAGTCAATCTATTCAAATTTTCACCCCAAATTTTTAGTTAAAAGCATAATTAACTTCTCTTCTAAGACTTGAACAGCGCTCTCCTCTTCTTTCCCTCCTCTCCCCTCTCAAGAAATATTAACTTAGCACTGCTGCCATCTGCTGAAAGCACACCGAGTCAGGCACTCACGGGAAAGCAAAGACCTTGTATTTTTTAGCGACACAAACATGGAGGAGAAAAATCAACATGATTAACACATGGTTCGGTCAGTTATAGATACTTTAACAATACAATGAACTAGACATTAACTGCACAGCAAAGCAGCTTTCATCTTTAAAGATTTCTATTATTTAACTGCGTTAAATTTTGGTGACTCCTATAATTTAACATTAAAGGGACTCTGAGTTAATATAGCCCAGTTATCCAAGATTTGCAACAGGCAGGAAATTGTGAGTAATACACTTACCTTTAGGTTTTGTTCCACATGACACAGAATATCATTAAGGACCACATTTCACTTCCTTTCTGAGAGATTATCCTTCTAGGGCTAGACCCCTAAATCAGAGCATACTATTTGTTCAGTACTGGCACATAGATCCTTAACAGTTAAAGTTAAAACTACAACTGATAATTTTCTAGCCCTGTAATTTCCTGCATATCAAGACAGATAGCTCAACAGACTAACAGTTACCGGTTTTTGTAGGCGTCCAGCGACATAGAGGGTTTTCCAGTGAAGTAAATCGTCAATCAGGGTATCAGTGCTAATCACACCATATTTTATCATCTGGAAAAAAGCAAAATAAAGGCTTTTGAAAAAAAAAAACACATATACTTGCACCATTTTCACTACCTGAAACTTACTTCTTACTTACTATAACTGCCATTAATTCTAAGGAACACACACCTCCAATAAAAAACCGGATCCATAGCAGTAAAACATTTTAACAAGAAGTTAAAAAAAAATTTCTATTTACATGCAAACTTCTGGGGAAAAAAAGGAAGTGGAATGCATGGAACTCTTTAAGAACCTTTCTAGAATCAAAGTTATAATAAAGTCACCCCAGGATCAATCACTAAAGCAAAAGACTTTAAATCCCACAGAAACCTAGTTCAGACAGACATTGACACTGAAGAGATCTGAACATTGAAATACAGCAGTTCATAAAAAGATTTTGGAAAGGTTACAATCAGTTTTGTACCAGCCAAACATTACAACAGTTGGAATAATCCACAGTACCCATTATGATATTGAAAGAAATAGTTTGTCAGAGACCTAAAATAAACAAAACCCCTAGACATTTATGTGTACCGTTATTGGGAGATGGGGTGCGCATCACGGAGATTTTTCTTTTGCTCTTTGACGTTAGAAACAAATTGTGACTTTGTAGCTCATTTAACATAACTCAAAAAAAAGATGAACTTTCAACAGTTTGTTACCAATTTGCACTTCCCGAGTTTCCAAAGATTATCACCACAGCAAGGCAGCCAACTCCAGAATTTCTGGATAACAAAGGACCATAGATTGTGATATGACTGAGTCATTACAGCATGAGATAAGGGCATAAAGAGCCAAGAAGAACAGAATTTTATAGCAAAGATCATTGGTCCTTAAAATAAAATCCAAAGCCCCTTTCTACATAAAGTGAACAAGGTTTAAACCCTAAATTTTTGCCTCATACATATGCCTTTAAACAAAATAGCAAGTACGTAACAGCCTATTTTATCTACCTTTCCAACTTTCTATGAAAAATTCTGATATATACCCAACATTATTGCAACCATGCATGCTCTGAGAAACTTCAGTTAGGTATATATTGCTCACGTGTCATTTTTCCATGACTGTCCTTCATTTCATTTCCCATCTTTTAAGAAAGAACTTGCTTTCCCTATGTACAGTTTGTTACCATATGGCAAAAGTTACTCAAAATCAAGACCAAGACAGACAGATACAATGTTTCCCTCCCCTGACTCCTATCAGCACTCCTCCTTGCCAAACACAAACTCCACAGACGCAGGAGTAGGACTTGCTGGACAGGTACTACTTACCTAGAATTATTAATTATACCCAAGCTTCACAGGTCAGGATGTTAGCCACTAAACATACAGGTGTCAGTTCCAACTTGCTAAGTTAAATATTTGCATTTCATGTCAAACAAACAGCGAGAATCCACTTTGCAATTACTACATGGTGAACTGCTAAAATTAAGGCCCTGTTTCCCCATGATACACTTTACAACCACCAAAACCGGCAGACAGCAAGTAATAAGGAATATAAATCCAGTTTCTGAAGTGCTTTAGTTGTTCATTCCAAACATTGCTCGCACTTTTAAAGTGCGAGAGCAGCTGCTTTGTTTGCTTTTTAATTAATACGCTGTTTGTGAAACAGTTTTGAGACAGAAATATTGAAGATACCATGAGTTAAGAATCAGTTACAATCTACAAGATTTGCTTCCTGCACAGAAATCTACTTTAAGCTAAACATTTCAATACTTCACACACAAACATTTGACTTAATTTACTCAAACTTCTTGTACTTACCCTACCATTACATGGTACTAAAGTATTGTAGTAAATCCCTGCTCCATAGCTCTGGATACTACTTATCTGTTTCGGCCCAAAAACTTTTAGGAAGGAATAATGACTCCTGTTCTTTAACAAGTTCATCATATGCCAGGTCACAGAATCATCAACAGCAAACACAAAGTCCAGCATATTCTCCTGTGGATAAGAAGAAAATTGTTGAGGTTTGTATGTTGGGAAGCAATCAATCTTAATCATAGTAATCCAAGATACACATAGTATTGAACTTCCAGTTAATCATTTTCACACGAGTTTGAAAAAATAAATCCAAAACACAAGCATTAATGTCAGATACAGTTTAAAAGTTCTGATGAAGCTGTATGTTTTCTAGTCAGTCTACCACAGATGGTCCAAAATTTTCCTGTCCTCCTGGTTAAGTGACCAATCTTCAACCCTCCAAAACAGGGGAGCATGTGATAAGATCTCCATCATCCTAGTTCAGTCCAAGAGCTTAACCTGCTAATGAACAGGACTTTTGCTAATACACAAGGCCACAAATTGGGAGATGTGGGCAGATAAAGGCATCTAAGAGCTGGCAGCAAGAAACTGCACTTCTAGCGTATTCGCTTGCTTTTGTCAACAAAACAATCCAAAAACCAAATACTTGTAATGGGCCATGCGTGCACTGCTCTTCTGAAGAAACCAGTCCACACATTGCCTGCACAAACAAGTCGAAAGTTTACAGCTCAAACCTAAAACAAACTAATATTTGGAGTGATATTGCTTCAAATTCATTAGGCCTGCCTCTCCTTATGGCTCACTAATTCTGGGCTGCACCTTAGCTAATCAGCTAATACTACTAAAAAGATAGTCTGTTAGCTACCTTTTTTTTCCCATTCTTTTGTGTGAGGTTGAGATGCTGTTAGAGCTCTGAAATTCCTATTATCCTCTGTTTTTCTCTTTTCAGAAAGGAAAATGAGACAGATTTAAAGTTGCATTTGTTGGGAGTGCCTAATAGGCAAGTCATAGTGAGCAATACTGCCTATTAACCATTTTTAAAAACCGAACACATACACAAAAATAAAATCACTATTTCCAAGCAGTCTGACCTCCAAACGATGAGGAAGTGCCAAGAATGTCCCTTAAGCATGGCAATGTATTTTGCATAAGTTACCCTCCGTATGAGGGTGCACAGCAAACAGACCGTTTGGACAAGCTGTAACTCTTTTTTTTTTTTTTAAAAAACCAACAGTAAATCAGCTCAGACACAGGGTTCGCAGACACAAAGCTAAAGGGCCACGCGAACCACACGCAATTGTAACACGGCTGTCAGGGTCCCCCCCGGAGGCCTCC